TAACTGTACTATATGGGATCAACAGAGGAACAAACCTTATAATTAGCAAATAGAATTGTGAAAATTAGTTCAATATTGGTAACATATAAAATAACGTATTAATAAAAAATAAATTCAAAAGAATTGAGAGTCCCTTTCTTAACTTATGAACGTGCTCCAAGCACGTTCATAAGTTAAGTGATTTGACATGTTAATATGTCAAGCGTGTTTAATATGTTGGGATAATGGAAAACTTAACATTTGTTTTTCGACCCATGTATAAAAAAAATAATATTCAGTTTCATGCTAATAAATTCGATTTTATCTAATACACTTAGCTTAAAAATGTAAAACATAGATGAAGATTTAAATCTACTCAAATATATGAGTTGTTAAAGTAACCGATACATTTTTAACTGTTGCTGGCAGCAAAGTATGTAAACGGAAGAAGTCGGTGGCATCGAACTTATCATTTTAAAGCATCGTAAACCTCCACCACGGTGCAAGTAATCACAACGTTTTAAACAGCTTCATGACGAGTATACGAGCTTATACGACTCTCGAATCATTTTCTTCGGAAAAGTAGTACCTCTGTAGCGAGATATACCTGTCATTCATTGATGTAGGTATATAAAACTGGATTCGCATTCCCATATAAAAAAAAATCACTTTATAAAGGAAATATGTAGTTAGTATGGAAGGGAGTATGTATGAGTAAAATTAAATTTTATATGAACCTTAGGTTAACCTGAAGTTTCCAATAATTACAAAATTTGTTCTTATATTTCAGTATGTTTGATTACAAACCTCATTCGTTGGTTACAAATGAGTACGTTTTTAAGTTTGTAATATCAACCTATAGTTGGCTACACATTTTGGGAAATTGTAAGTGAAGTGAGCAATTTAAGTGATTGTGCATCTTGGATTTTTTGTATATCAATGTTTCTATAATTCTTGTTTGTGTTTTTGCGCAATAATTATGAACTCAGTTTTTGTTTTTAATTACCGTTCAAACTACCCTCTGTCTAGTAAGTTCATCAACCCAAAAAGAGGCTTCAATAAACATGAATTACTCCTTTGAAAGTTGAGTACAGTACGGCATTCAGTCAGTCATAGTCTTGTTAGTCAATTATTAGCATATCCTGTAATTATGCTATTTGAGGTGCCCGCATCTATCCGTGAGCTGAGTATGAGGATGTTGACATTAGCTTGATTAGATCTTGTTGTCACTAAGGACTCTCATGTGATATTTAACAATGTTTGAATAGAATTTTATGCGATTATGTTGTTTGATGTACACAATAGCCTAAGGAAACACAGTCATAATATACTATTACTCGTAGTCATTAGAGAGAGAGATCATTAGGGATTGTATATATTAGGGGTTATACTGTAAGGCGAAAAGCGTCACGCAAAGCGTCGTACACCTCCTGAAGAAGACTTACAGATGAAGTCGAAACAATCGCCGAAAACGATAAACATAGTAAGTTCATAAAATTCCTGGTCATATATACCATCAACGTCACATCAGCCGTTTACTGTCCACTATTGAACATAGGCCTCCTCCTATTGGGGGGTTTTGCAAGTAGTTGCACCGCTTGGCAGACAGTTTAGCAAATGCAGTTAGGCTTTGGTGATGTTTTAAGAGGGATGCTGCTGCCTGTCCCTCGACCGTTAAGCTCCCTTAGTTGCCATACACATATGATTATATCCGTATAGTTGTGAACATATTTACTGTTTTTTTTTTAAGTAGGAGATTCATAGTTTAATTTTATTTTTGTTTCTTCTGAATGGATTTTGTGGGATTTTCAATTTAAATGGTTTAATGCCATTAAGATCCTCAGAATGAAATTTAAGTCTTTCATAGACTTACACCATGTAGACTATCATCTATTATATAACTGTATTTAAAAATACAAATTTCTTGTGATTAAATCAATTTCATTATCAAGTTTGACCACTAGACTTGACTTGACCACAGCCACTTTCTACCATCGTACGGCTCGCCATCGACAGGGAGTTCATTCTCATGTCCTACAGCCTCAATGGTCGCGTACCGCGCGGTTTCAGAGATGTTTCCTCCCACGAACGCTCAGGTTGTGGAATGAGCTCCCTGCCGAGATTTTCCCAAGAGACTACAGCATGGGGTTCTTCAAAAGGGGGGTAAAGAGGTTTCTTCAGGGTCGGCAACGCACGCGTAATACCTTTGGTATTGCAGGTGTTCATAGGCTACGGTAACCACTTACCATCAGGTGGGCCGTATGCTTGTTTGCCACCTCAGTGGTATAAAAAAAATATCTGACTATCTATAAAAAAGTATGTTAATAGTTTAGCCTACATTCGCCCCAATACTATTTCGATTTCTTCAGTCTCTTTCTTTCAAGAATCAATTTTGTTATTTTAAGTGACATGATAAATTTTAGTTTCATAACTTATGTTTACTTGGTTATATGTAGTTAAAATTGAATATTCCCAACACAGCGTTCTACCAGTAGGTAAGTACTTATAATGTTCTTGTAGGCAAGCTAGTAAAACCTCGTACATACCATAAATTAACGGCGTCATTACGATCACGTCGCTTCTGGTTGTAAACGTATCACCTCACCAGCGGGATTACACTACATTACATTTAATTATACATTACACTATCTATTTGTAATGTAAAATGAATTAATTTGTTGTTGTTATGATTACATTTGACAACGTTTATATAACTAATAAATAGAACAGTTTTAAATTCTTAAAAATACGATTTGGTAGAATTTAATTAAATAATATTTAATTATAGAAGAAAGAAACTGACCAGCTGTACCGTAGTTACAAGTTTAGGATTGCTTCGATTTTGGAAAGACAGATGACGAAAAAATTTAAAATTCATTCGTAGCATATCTCTTATACACTTTCGAAATTAGTACTTTATAATTATTTTCTTTTTGTAATTCTAAACTCGTAAAATAAATTAAATGTAAGAAATTTGAATTGAAATTTAGTCGGAGTCCCAATTGAACGTTTTGTCCTTATATAGAATAAAAAAAAAAAGACATTCTACTATAATCGAGTCTTATTTGAATACCCCAAATTAACTAAGCTATATTATAAATTAAAAGTAATAATTAAACAAGTCGTATGGTATACATATTTATATTAAAGAAAGAAAATTATAAGTAAGAAGTAACAAAACAAATATGAAATATTTCCACATAGGAATTCGTTTCCTTTAGAACCAGCAGAAATCGTAGATTGCAGCCACATTGCTCTGTGGTTTCCTTTGGCGTGTTCTCTTTTCTTTCGATGCCAACAGCGCGACGGTCGTACCGTAAAGGAGTTTTTAATTTCATTTAAATTCAACTCCTTCTGATATTTTTGAATAATAAGGGTGCCTACGTAGAGCGCAGACAAAGTTTTATTAAAAATAATTGCAGTCTGAGCGTTCAAGATTTTAATATTGTAAAGAATTTAGACATTCAATATTAAGATGTAATTTGAAGAAAATGATTGCAAAGAGTTTTACATTTATTTTAACAAAACAAAAGCGGCAATGATGTCGATGATGGGAAGTGGTAACAATCGTCTATAGATGTAAGCTGTACGAAAATACATTGTGATTCATGGTGCTCCTCATGTGCATTTATTTTCAAGAACTATGGAGTTACGTCTCCATATTCTATTACTTTATTTAGAGTTAAGTATTTGTAAAACTACATACCTCTACAAGATCAGAGTGAAAATGGATTATTAAATAGAAACCCTATTAGATACTATTAATATATCCTATCAGGTCGACTTCTACGCGGGAAACCATCGTGGTTAATTGTTCCAAAATTTGTCCTTATGAGTTTACTTACCAGAAGGAGACTTTGTACAAAAGTCGATTGCTTGGGTACCTCTGTTCCATTCGTGTTTCTACCGTAAAGCAGTTGTGTTTGCATGGCTGTGTTTCGGTTTGAAGGGTGGGATATGGCGTGAATTTACAGGGTACAGAGGAATAACACCTAAGTCCTCAGGAATGGCAACGCATGGGGGGTATCATGGGCGTAACAGTATACTCTGTTATGTTCATAATACACCTTATGTCTATAGGCGACGGTTAACACTTTCCATCAGGTGGGCCGTCAGCTTGTTTGTTATTCTAAGTTGTATAAAAAAGAAAAAACTAGTTCACATTCTTTAAAGCATTGCTATTTAGTAAATTGTAATAACAAATTGAAAAACTAAGTATATATAGTTATCAAGAAAGCGTGTTCTTCAAACACAGTTTAAATAATTGGAGAAGGTCGGAGCAAATGGTAATAGAGAGAATGACGGCTCGGTATGTTTGGGACTCTGTACGCTTGACTTACTTTCTACACATGAACAATCTTACAAAATGTGCCGCTTATGGACACCGGTCCACTCTCGTAACTAGACGTTCGTATAGATTTAGTCTGTGGATGTAATACCTAAATGTGTTGTACGATAAGTGTCGTGATCCTATTTGGATTAATTAAATATGATAAAGATAGTTTTTGACCGCGACCTCGTCTTTGTGACCGGGATATATCGATGTTTTTTATGTTACTGGAATGGTAACCCCGTTTGTGTCTCTAGTAAACGCTGGTACCAATGATGCATGACGGTGAAATCGTTTCAGTTGATCTATCGTAGCGAATTCGTTAGGAATTAAACAGGATTATTTCTGGAGAGGAATAAGTAGAGGTCAACCTGACAACATTGCATTCCTTAACAATTCATCATACCTTCAGATAGTATATCGATGGAACAGTGTAAAAAGTAGTTCATATACCTACGTGCTAAAAAGTAACAAATAATGAAATAAACAAATACAAGAACTTTCACATTTAGGTAAGACCTTTTAGCTGAATTCCAATCAACATTGTATGTTGATTGTAATTGTTATGTAATTTAAGGCCTATGAAAATTTGTTTAAATTATTAAATTTGCATTTTGATTACTACTTTTTCATTAAGTGATTCATCATTTAGTTAGTCGTATTACTTTGTATAAATTCCAATTACACTTACCTTTAAATAGTTCAAACTTTCCCCATCAAAATCTGAAATTAGATAAACATTCGTTAGAATATAAATTGTAAATTGGACAATTATATCAATAAAGGTATGAAATAAATTAAAACGATGAAATTAGTCTAAACAAACAAAGTTAGATATAAGCTAATTGTTGCGATGAAATTCAATATAAACACACCACGATTGGAAGTACTGACTGTATGAAAATTTATTGGATAATATTTCCTTTAATTTTTTTATGGCACTTAAAATGACAAACAAGCTGTTAGCTTGTTTGTCATTCTAGCTAGTTAGCTCATCAGATGGAAAGTGGTAATTGTCACCTATAGATATGAACAACACCATGGCCATTATAGAGAGTACTATAATGCCCATGATACCTCTCATGCGTTGCCATTCCTGAGGACTAATGTTTATACCTCCATACCCTGTAATTTCACTGATATATCCCACTCATCAAATCGAAACATATCCCTACGAGCACTGCTGCTTTATGGCAGACATTCGAATGGGACATAGGCATCTAGGTAGACAACTTTTGTATAAATTCTCCTTCTGGTAGTATTCATCTATGTACTAGACATATTCTAAATTTGAATTTTGAGCAGTAGTCCAGCTCTACACTTATTATAGTTAAATTATTACTAGTAATTGGTTAACAGAAAGAAATACGAGTAGCAATGGTGGCTCTAGTCTATATTGCGAATTGTGTATCCTGTCAGATAATCCTAATTATCTTTTTGGAAACCTAAATACATCCTAATAATTTGATACTCCTCTGTTGGTTCGCCATACACCATTTGCATAAATGAGGGTACCAAAAAATAGGGTAAAAAATAAAAAGATGCACCGGATCAGTCGTACTCGTTGTTCAGTGTGGATAATGAAATTATGCTTTTATAAACTTATTTAGAGGTTCCTAATTCGACTGTTTTTTTCTTGTATATATGTTCAAAAATCAATTCTAAATTGACAATTGAATGATATTCAATTTTAAAACAATTCATTCATTTAGTATTATTAATACTTGTTGGTTCTTTAATAATTTTTTCATGTTTGAAGTCACTGCTAATTTTACGGAGCAAAATTCTCTTTGTTATTGTAGATCAATTTATTATAGTAATCAACACGTATGTTATTTTAAGTAAACAATCATTTTGAAACAGTAACCGCATTGTATGTACTCGAATATGTGAATTTTAGCATTATTAGCGCTTTGAGGATAATCTGTACCTCACAGATGAGGTACGATAAGCCCATCCGGAATCTGTACGCGCGTACGTTAAAATGTAATTGTAATTTGGAAACAAAGAAAATAAATTTCAAAAAGGTCAGATATAAAAAAGGCATACTTTACGCCATGTTAAAAGCAAATATTATAAACTCTCACTGAAAAATGTAAAATTTTAGACTGTCTATTGAGAATGAATGTCAAATAAGTTCACCTCCTACACAGTAGAGAAAATCGTTGCTTATAGACAGTAAGATCACGTGGACTAGTCTACTTTTAAACTTTTAACGAAAGTCTTTATGGTGTAAACAAATGAATTTGTGATATAGACAGAGAAACTCAACCAACCATCTTGTTGTTACATACTGCATTTTTGTAATATTAAAACGATTTTAAAAAAATCTTCTCGATTCATAATTAAATTTTTTAGTGTTGGGATAGGTATTAAATAGTATCTATTTACTATATGAGTTTTCGCTTATTCTGAGCTTGGTAATATTTTTATAATCTATAAAGTTTATTACCATGTAGGACCCATATTCATAGTACGATAGTAGAAATTTTTTTCATGTTTGTTATCTCATAACTTCGTCAGTTCTAAACCGTTTTGGAAAATTATTTTTTTAATTGAAGGGATATACCTACCTACTTACAGATTAGTCCCATAGAGATTTTATTACAATCGGTCCTTTAGTTTTTAAATCAAGATAACTGATTTTGTCACAATTGACGTTAGTTTTTTTTTTGTAAAAAACAATTTTAATTATTTCGAAGCAAAATGAAAATTATTAATATGTTATTTGTTATGCTGACGGTATTTGCAATCAAATGAAGCCGTCGAGACCGCAAATAAGTGAACTATTTTGTTTGTACACGAGTATTGTTTCTAATTACAAGTTTAGTTGTAATTAACTTGAGCAATAATTTGCTGATTGAATTCATATTGACGGTCTCCATGGTTCTCTGAGGGTAACAATAAATAGTTTACTAATGTAAACTATTTATTGTTGAGGTCCAGGGTACAAAAATTAAACGAATCAAACGAAACAAACTTTTCGAAAAATTTTGTTACTTCTCGGCTTAGCTTCCTAGTTTTATTACTGCTGTCTAGATGACTTGGTACGTATTGGGTTTCATTTTGAGTTTTCTATCTTTTGTATTCTGATTTTTTTCACATTCGACTTTAAGACATCTTAAGGATGAAAATAAGTATTATCACCAGATTCTTGGTACTTTATTTCTTTTTTTTTTTATTTTATTTTTTTACACATACACTAAACAAACTTTTCATTTAAATAATATCATTACTTAAATACAATCGCTCTTTAAGAAAATTAATATAAATTATACATATTATATATAACAAAACATTATTATGTTTTGTTATATTAATAATATAATTGTGTAATATTAATATAATTGTGAAATCTTCATTATTATGAAGATTACACAATTATATAATTTCTTTTAATGTCTATTAAAAGGCGACGATTACCACCAGGTGAGGCAACAACTTGTATACTACTCGTATTTTAAGTTACATAAAAAAATCTTACTTTTTTACTTGTGGGGATACCACATGAAATAGTTTTGAATGGCTACCGCTGCGTTATATTGATTAGGATTAAAAAACTAAAACTATCAAAATATAGTTTTAGTGAGTTTACCATACTTTTAAATATATCATTTATTCTGTTACTATTAACTTACTAGTGTTAATATAATAACTACAGGTTTAACTGACGTGTATGTGCGAGCCTGGCTCGCGTCACAGTCGCTCATGACTAAGGATCACGAATTGATCCCGAAACTAGTGGAGTTTTTTCAATCAAATTATACCCAACTTAAACCGGTAAGTTATTATATTAAAATATAATGTGTGTTTACGAAGCTTTTAGCAATAAAACTTATTAGATGTTTTCAGTTTTACATAAAAATGTCCTCTCGTTCTATGCTTCAGAAAATTCATTATGGGTCGCAGGACCTACTGAAAAATAGAATGAATTTCGTTCCTAGTGAATATAAAACCGTTTGTACTCTTGCCCAAATTCATTGTTTCAATTGTATTAACCTGACCGTCCTTTGACGGCACAGAGGGCCTTTAGACACGAAAATTTATTTGATAATCTCATTGTACATTAAATAATTTTCATAAACATATATAATCAACTGCCTTTAAAAAGACAGAGGTTATCAAATTGACTGTATGTGTTTTGTACTGTTATACGCCAATTCTGAATAGAATTTGGTGATTCTTTCTTTAACTCGAAAATATTATTTTATCTGTGTATACTTACATCTGTGTTGCTCTTTTACTAATTTTTTTCATGATTGTATTCTGTTTTTTTTAGTACAACAATATTTCATTTTATTATATTAATATTATAAATGCTTAGCTCCTTTAAAGCAAAATTAAAAATTTTTGGGTTAAACGACAACTTTAAAATTGATTTTTGTCGAGATACTATAATATTTAAGAACGCATACGTATAAAATGGTGATATTATGAACTAAATATATCGATACTTTTCTAATATAAAATCGAATATTTCTATTGTAACTAGACATACCTAGCTCTTATACTAGATGTTATCACGCAGCTTTCCCATGTGAATCAATAGATAAAAATTACTAAGTTAAATCTTAACTTAACCGTGTAATAAATTTAATTGTAATCCTTTTAGCAGTTTTTTCGTTTCATCTATCCTTATAAACTTTCAGATTTATAATATTAATAGGCAATTTTTGTCAATGCTATGCTAATGTAGTTCGTCATTGTTTCCAGGGGGACTGCGTGGAGGTCGACCTGACAAGGTGTATTGATAGCAATGGGACTGGTAGTCTACATTACTAATAATCCCTCCTTGTACAGCACATTACTACAATAATGTTGTTAATAAATGAGTCTATCTAATAGTGAGTGCATGAGATGAATTTCAGGATTTTCCAGCTGGTTGGTGTAATTAAATACAAACACAAACATAGGTCTGTGTTTCTAACAAATTGCAACAAGAACAGATATACATATAGACATACCTATATACATAAATAGGGTGATAGTGTTAAACATAATTACTCGTTAGTCATAATCTTCCAACGTAAATCCACAAAATTAGTTTAACTTTAATAAAACCCATAATTTACGATGTCATTTACATAATATCCAAATTCCTATTCAGCCGTGAGCCGTCTGGTTTAACTGAAACTTAGTGTGGCCAATTCTTAATTAACATCTGAGTAGGTTAATTTCGAAGGCCTCCTGACTGCGGGACAGGGGCACAAAATTGCCAAGTTTATTATATTCGTGGGGTGGCTGAATTACAGCGGCCAGGGCGACGGCTTTTCATAATCAAAGTTGTTCGCTGGAACGCCGAAAATAGGTGGCGTTACCCCTCCTCTATGTTGTTATTGTTGTTGTTTCTTTTTCTGAAGACAATATTTTCTTGTTAAACCTAAAGTGCTGTTGTATGTTTTGAGTATAAATGATTTTTTTATATTTATTTTTGTTACCTACCTAATATATCTACTTAATAATAAAATGAGCCCTTGTCATCATTTTAACTGTGCCTTCAACTGTCCACTACTGAACATAAGCCCTCCTTTTAGGGGGTTTTACTAATAGTTGCTACACTTGGCAGGCGGACTGGCAACCGCAGTCAGGCTTTAGAGATGTTTGAGGAGGGACGCTACTACCCATTCCTTGCCCTCCCTTAGTCGGCTCTTATGACACCCAGAAAGAAAGGAGTGGTCTATTCTATGCCAGAACCACATGGCCAAAAAATGAGCCTTTAATTG